CAATATCGTTAAAACTCACAATCGGCAGCAGGCCAGAACTCCTCAAATCTTCTCATATAATGGCTATTTTTTACCTAAGCAAGTCCTCATCCGCCGTTAAAACGGGTTTACCACTACGCCTAAGCATGACATCATCAATCGATATGAAATCGAAACCAGTTCGCAATTTACTTACTCGAAATACTATCTGAAACTTGACTGGATGATTGGATCTCTTCACACACAATCAATTATTGAATACCTGATATGGCTGTCCTGTTCTTGGAACCACTAAGGAGCGCCGTATCCAGAATGCTAATATATTAGTAGATATGTGATCAAGATTACGGTAGTTTGTACCTTCTTTCAACATAATCTGAAATCGAAAAATGGTTTTTTGAAATGTAATTGATAGTTTAAAACTAATTTTAAAAATACTGATTGACCTGTAAATTCGCGTCACCTATGGTCTTCGTGTATTTGAACGATAATACATTATGTGTTTCTGTTGGTGCCATTACTGGACTAATGAGATCAGCTGTGGAATTCGAGCCAAAGTGGCCTTGTGCAGTTATAAACGCACCATCTGAAAAAATCAATATATAGATGGAATTCTTTGATTTGTTCTATAATAACGTACCACCAATTAATGTCATAGGACTAAGATTGAGCGGACTCGGCACGAATGTCCTGTCAGCAATGGTCCATGGTGATTCAGCTGTCCAACCGCAAAGATTGTACTCGAATTTACAATCAATTATTGATTGGCATTGAGTCAGAGCTATGACCATGAATACAACAGCTAATGATTTCATAGTTACTAATCTGAAAGTGAATTTTGCAAAGTGATTTAGTAAGATTCAAGGTAACAGGGAAAGTTTTCTAGAAAACTACGAAGGATGATCAAATATCTTGTTTTCAAGAATTTTCTGATTGAATAAAGTCGATTCGCCAATCAACAGTTTGAATGCCCTTTTAAACTTTATACTGTATTACATAAGAAGTTTAGTTAGGGATATGACAGTTGTATGTCAGAACAGTTAAATACATCATATATATGGAAACTGAAAAAATACTAGATAGCACAGCACTTTACTCTGTAATCTAACAGT